TTTGGGTTCCGCATTCCTGCCACCCAGGCCTCCTGATTGCACTGCTCAGTTGACGTTCATACTGAAGACGACACCGTCTTGACCCTTTAGCAGCTCTCTGCTCCCTCCATTTCCCTCACACCTTGGATATTTCCCTTCGTTTCTCGTGAGCCCAGCAACGCGTTAGTAATTACATTTAAGTTAGTGAGTATCTAGTTGGATTTTATGTAGCCTGCCATTCTTGAAATACTTCTTTTCAAACAACATTTCTTAACTCTGAAGGGAAACGCCTGTACCTGTTCTCAGGACTTGAAGAACTCAAGCTTAAGCTAAAGGCTAAAAGCAAAGCTGTGTCTCTTAAGATGAACCAGGGGTCTGCACTCCTCCTTTTCTAAGAGTTTCATCTGTTATGGGAGCATTAGTTTGAATTCTTAAATAGAATAATTTTAAAATTGAGGGGAAAACAGTTAGGAGAGAGACAACATTGTTAAACTGATTTTTTTGGTGACCCAGTAGAATTTCAAGAGTTATTCACAGTGCATATGTGTCTGTGTTTTAAGACTGGGGTTCACGCAGAAGCACCGCTTTTTCTGTGGAGGTTTATCGGGTTTTTTCCTTTGCTTTTTAGCAAAAGAGCAGTGGCTCAGGCAGCAGTGTAGCTGACGAGAGAGTGGACTATGTCGTGGTTGACCAACAGAAGACCCTGGCTCTGAAGAGCACCCGTGAAGCCTGGACCGATGGGAGACAGTCCACAGAGTCTGAAACGCCAGCCAAGAATGTGAAGTGAAAATGCCGCTTTAATGTCTCTGAACAAAAGAGGGCTGAGCTGTAAGGAGAAATCCTGTTTGACTGAAGATAACTTGACCCTTGTACTCTAGGTAGATCCTCAACTGAACAGAGTCGAAGTCAGAGGACCTTTCAGACTTAATCAAGCCGTTGAGCGTGTAAATGGTGCTTTGTGGTATCTGAACAATTCATCACATGTAAATAATGTGGGAAAATACTGTTGTTTGGTTCCCAGAGAAACATTTGTTTCGTAGTTAACACACTTGTAGTATTACTGTATTTATGCACTTTTTCATTTAAAGCATTGGTTGGGTATTCCCGAATGGGCCTGAACATGATTCTTTTGGGAGTTCTTGTTTTCCTCACACTACTCTTAAGAACGATGCTACGTGAACTAAGCTACTTTCCACTGGGAAATTGCTCTTCAGCTGCAGGGTAACAACATGACGTGAGAAGTAGATTCACCATATACCTTTCTACCTGAAACTTAACGGGGTAACCGTTAGCTTAAACCGCAAAGTAGAGTTGGACTCATCATTCATTGCCTTCCAAAGTGCTAAGCATCATGTACCTACTGGTGTCAGGACTTTGTTCTCTGGTTCATGGACATTTGGTTTTCAGTGGTGGAACTTTCTTATATTTTGTTAATTACAGTGTTTTGGGCTCATTAAGTGAAGATTCTGCCAGGTGGGATCTTACACCTTGTAAAGAGTGAATAATCACACTATCAAGTAAGCGTACAACTCACTGATGGCATGTGGTGACGATGTGCTCTCACACTTTCAACATGTATTATTAAACTTTACGTTATTTGCAAAGTGTAGATTATGTAACTAATCAGGTACGTACCAGGCACTGATGTGCTAATACAATGATCAGGTTTAGACAGTGAGCTTTAGTTGTATTCGTGTTAGTCCTCTAATGCTGGTTTCCAGTTTGGAATTAATGGCACAATTGACATTCACTGTTAGTTATAGCAACATACTGTGATTTTTAATTAGACAGTCATTCAGATTTATTACTCTAAGAATGAAATTCTGTCTTTTGACAACATAGTGCCCTTTCTATGATTTTTTTTTTAAACTTTACTTAATATTCTTCTTGGCCTTATCCTATTTAAATCCCTATGCAATTAATATTTTATATCTGCATTTTTTAAAAAAATAGATGTTATATAAGTGATTCTCATATGTAGCACCTATTGCTTTTCCAGTAAAAGAATTAAGGCTTGTGTACTGTGATTTATATTCACTGCCCCGATTCAAGAAATATTGGAGCCTTGCTATAATGTGAAATCTTAAAGTCATGGACCTCTTCCAACCAGATTTCTGAAACCACCAGAGGTATCGTATAGTTCTGTCTCACCTATATAACATGGTCCTATAGCAAGACCACACATTATCTATAGTAAGGCTACGATTTATCTGTCTTGGCTTTGCAATGTAATTTAGAAAGCAGGTATAGTTATTGGTTTGATTGGTTTTTAACTAAGTTACATACAATCTCTTATGTACTGATTTGAGACTTACTAACAGTGTTTGGAGGGGGCATAGAGATTGAAGAGCCCACAGCTGAGGCATGTTTCCCTCCATGCAGACCTTTAATGTTACCTGAGTACACAGATGTGCCCTGATTTCTGGCCCCTTGGTCGCCGTACTGTGCCTAATCAATGTAATGGGTTTATGTCCCCTCCATGAGCTAAAAACGTTCATAACAAGATGAATTGTAGACAAGTAACATTTGATGCTTTTAAATGTTTGCTTCTTTTTAAACAAAAACTAAAACCCAGAACTGAATTTTGAGGTGGATTTTTAAATAAAAAAACATTGTTTGAGTTTGCTGTGAGTAAGCTGTTTTATAATGAAACCACAAAATAGAGTCGAAAATCATTGAAATGTGCCTCAACTGTCAAAACACGTAACACAGTTGACGTGTGAAGATACCAAATTGTGTTGCATGGAGGATAAACATACTTTGAGATTTAGAACACAACAATAAATATATTGTTAATTCAAAAATAGAAATCTTGGGGGCTTCCCTGGTGGTGCAGTGGTTGAGCGTATGCAGGGGACACGGGTTCGTGCCCCGGTCCGGGAAGATCCCACATGCCGAGGAGCGGCTGAGCCCGTGAGCCATGGCCGCTGAGCCTGCGCATCCGGAGCCTGTGCTCCACAACGGGAGAGGCCACGACAGTGAGAGGCCCGCAAACCGCAAAAAAAAAAAATAATAATCTTGTTTTAAAAGCTACCTATCAGAAGAGTCTAAGGCAATAATGAACTTTTTAGTGTAATTTCTCAATTTTTTGCAAGTTACCATTTTGAAGACCCGCAGCACTCAAATCTGCAGAAATTTTCCCATTACGCAGAGTAATTTAAGAATTGAAAATTAGGCAGTTTGTTAAACTAAATCACATTAAACATTGCATTAGCAAATTAAATGAAAAGACAGTCTCTTATAGAGCGGTATTTCCCAAAGATTTTTTAGCACTAGAATCTCTTTCCCGCTCCGCTGAGCCTGCGCATCCGGAGCCTGTGCTCCACAACGGGAGAGGCCACGACAGTGAGAGGCCCGCAAACCGCAAAAAAAAAAAATAATAATCTTGTTTTAAAAGCTACCTATCAGAAGAGTCTAAGGCAATAATGAACTTTTTAGTGTAATTTCTCAATTTTTTGCAAGTTACCATTTTGAAGACCCGCAGCACTCAAATCTGCAGAAATTTTCCCATTACGCAGAGTAATTTAAGAATTGAAAATTAGGCAGTTTGTTAAACTAAATCACATTAAACATTGCATTAGCAAATTAAATGAAAAGACAGTCTCTTATAGAGCGGTATTTCCCAAAGATTTTTTAGCACTAGAATCTCTTTTAAGTAAACTCTTGTGTAAGCCCAATATGTAAAGCCTGGAAAGTCCATTTGATCAGTGTAACTGTATTTTGAGTCCACATTTATGTTTACTTGTCTTAGAACATTACTAAGAATAACATTTCTAAGTAACACAAATGTGAAATTGGGGTTATAGATAGTTGGTGAAACCTTAGCCGCCAGTCTGTTTCTATGCCTTGTTTTAGTCGCATGCTATCAAGAGAATTTTGCTTCATGCAAATGTAAGTAAGTACAAATAATAATAGGGTTTAAACACACATTTCAGGAGATTCTTTAACTAGAGATAGATAAAGTTGTATTCCCAGGTTTATATAAACGTAAATTATCCTGGTGGTGGAAGTTTATACATAAACAGGCTCCAGTGTGGTAAAATAGTGTATGTAACACATTAGAATGTGCATTTTTACTAAGTTTTTAAACTGCACACTTTTATAAAAACAAAATTTGAATCAAACTCTTTAATACCCCTGATCGCCCACAAGAAGCTGAGTTTTGGCCAGGCATGGGTTGAACACCACTGGTTAACCGTGTAACAGTTGTGTTATAAATCAGAAGTTTTTTTTCTCCCACGTTTGATGCTCTCTACCTTTTATTCCTTATTTTGAAAAACTGTACAATTTTATGAAAGTTTGAATACCAGTGCGCAGCTCTGCTTTCAAAACTCAAAATTCAGACTTGAATAATGTAAGCTATTTAACCCACAGGATGCATCACCTTAGAAAGCTATAGAAGTGGTTTTTATCTACACTCTATACGTTTTCATCTTTATTTTTATCAATACCATAATAAGCTACTGTGAGCATTTTAGAGAATTCCATAAAGGTACTATGAGTGTGTGTATGTATATATGGCATTGTATTTAATCATAGACTAAGTTTAATTTGATATAGAAATACTGCCATACTTGTACATTAATGTCATAAGTCATAATTCCCTCTGGACTCTTTATATTTAATTCATCAGAGGTCGTAATCTTCAGTCATAAATGCATTCAAACTGGAAATTGAACACCAGTGTTTGTTTTTCTTTTTCTTTTAGTGGGAAGTTATCTGCTTTCCCCCTTTAGCAAAAACAGTATCTTTTATATTTTGTTAAACTGTTGACTACTTTATGCCTGTACACTATACCATAGGCATAATTCTTAGATATTCCCAAACACTCTTAGTGCCTCCTTATTTGGCCCATTGAAAGTATTGGTGTTAGTATTTCGAATGAATTACCCTTTAAAAATATACTAGCCTTAAACATTTTAGAAACAACAAGGGGGACTGAATCTTTTTATTCCTATCTTTGGGTCATTGTGGTAGGTCTTATCCTCCATTGTTAGATAAGCAGTCAGGTCTGTAATGGGATTGACATAACATGACCAAACCAAGTGGATACAGAGAGAGAGGGGGGCATATCCCAGGATAACAGTTATTGTCAATAACATCAGCTATATGTAAATCTGTATATAATTTAAAATACCAACAACTATGAGGTGAAAAAGCCATGGTGCAAATGAATGTTGCAGGCATCATGGACTTGTTCTGATGAAAAAATCACTTGTCGGGTTGTTGAGATGATTGGTTTTAATCTGACTAAATATGTTTATATATCACTACAGCTTGAAATAATTTAGTTCATCCTCCATAGACTTATCTTTCTTTAGGGTCAATATAATGCATATTGTGAGTTTCAACAGACTGTTCCGTCAAGGGATTAACATAGCTTCTGGCTTCCTTTACTAAAAAGATACGGCTTTGTGTGAGTTCTTGTAACCTAAATCAATTGTTGATAATCATTCCAAATTTCCACAGCAAAATCTTATGTATAAATTTATTTCTCCCCTCTTGCACATCTTCTTTTGTAAAGATCCAATTGTAGATATTTTCTGCTACCAAATAAAACTTTTCAAACAATTTGGTTTCAAGACCTTAAATAGTCAATTTGGATACTGAAACTGTGACCCAATAAGGACATAAAATTTCTATTTCCAGCCCTTCCTTAGAGTCTTTATCTAAATCAAAAACCCAATTCTGCCATTAACTACACTTCCCAGTTCTACTTCTATAGGGTCACTCATTTTCTGCAGTAAAGATCCCACTAAATCATGCTAAATATAATAGTCATGCTCTAACTAAATAGAAAAAGCTCCTGAGACCCAGTTGCCCTGTGCGTACGCGCGTTATTCCTTCACGTAGCCAATGCTACCAGCACTTTGTTGAGTAAAAGGCCAATTAAGTAAGGGCCTGTATGCAGCCTTTACCATCAGGAAACACATTCCCAACGTGACTTGGGAAATGATAGCTGGCTGGGCTTCCTCATTTCTAGGAAAGTTTTCAAACACCTCCAGTGCTTCATAAAACCCCAAGAATTACCATAAGTTGCAGCATTTTGCAGCTCTGACTCTCATTAGATCATACTTGGGAAGTTTGGGAAGAAAATTAAGTTCCTAAAGTTTATTCCTATAATTCATTAGACAGGACTTTATTACTTTTAATCATGGTTATGTTGGTGATTCACTCGTAGCTCAACATGTCTCTGATTTTGTGTGTGGTGCCCAGAGCATTTGGAGGACTCAGTATGTGGTGGTACAGAAAAGAAAAAATCACATAAATGTTTTAAAAGCCCACTTTCTCCAATATGGTATCATGATGGTTAATGTGTCAACTTGGCTAGGGTGTGGTGCCCGTGTGTTTGTTCAAACACTAGTGTAGACAGTTGCTGTGAAGATACTGTGTAGATGTGATTAACATTACAATCCGTTTAGGTAAAGCCAATCACCCTCCATAGTGTGGATGGGCCTCATCCAATCAGTTGAAGGCCTTCAAAGCAAAAACTGAAGCTTCCCACAGAAGAAGGAATTCTGCCCCAAGACCGTAACATAGAGATCCTCTGTGAATTTCCGGGCTGCCAACCTGCCCTACAGATTTCAAACATGCCGTCCCCATTTCCATAGATAGATGCACAGCATACATGGATGGATGGATGGATAGATTATTTCTCTGGGTCTACTCCCTATTCATTGTGGGAGGAGACATACAAGGACATGAATACCAGGAAGTAAGGATCGCTGGCAGCATCTTAGAGGCTAGCTATCACAAAGGCAGAGTTGAGTGTTAAGAGATGACACCAAAGATGGAGGGCCTTAAGGACCAAGGAACTCAAGTGTATTGAGAATTAAGAACTTTAAAATGTCAGAAGACAAAGCCTGGAAAGAGTAGGCCACAGAAAGTCAGGAGATAGTGCTGAACCTGGGTCTATGAGTTTAGCTCTGTGTCCTTATAAATTACAAAACTATTCACCAGTTAATTGAGACACTGTGTTTTATACTCTTACTTAATCCTCGTAATACTGTGAAGTGGCTAATGTTAATTCTCTTCAACCTTCAAGTTCCAACTTAAACAGTTCCTCAAGGCTTTCCCTCAACTGCCCCACCCAGAGGTGCTAGCTCCTTCCTCTGAAAGTCACAAAATTGGCAAGTCTCTTCTGTTTTTCACTTTGGGCTTTTCTGATGGTATATTAATTTGCTAGGGCTACAATCACAAAGCACCACAGACTGGGTGGCTTAAATAACAGATATATTTTTTCACAGTTCTGGAAGCTAGAAGTTAGAGGTCAAGTTGTAGGCAGATTTAATTTCTTCTGAAGCCTCTTTCCTCGGTTTGTAGATGGTCGCCTTCTCACTTTACCCTCACTTGGCCTTTTCTCTGGACATGGGAGTCCTGGTGGCACATTCTCTTCTTATAAGGACAGCAGCCATATTGAATGAGACCCTCACCTTTATGACCCATTTAACCTTGATTTCCTCTTTAAAGGCCCCATCTCCAAAAACAGTCATATTCTGAGGTACCGGGGGGGGTTTGGGTCTTCAACGTGAATTTTGGGTGGACACAATTCAGTCCATAATAGATGGCTGTGTTTAGCTCATCTACCTAGCTATATGCACCTTAGAATAAAAACTATGT